CCCCCAGTGCTGGAGAAGCTCTGTCTTCTGCTGCAGCTGGAGAAGCTCTGTCTTCTGCTGCAGACACCAGTTCTGCTTTATGATGGGGATGGGGAAGGGTGACCAGAGCTTTTACTGTAAGTCTCCAACTCCGACAGGCTGACTACAGACAGGACTGCACACCCAGTCCACACTGAGCCTCACAGCTCCTTCAAGTAGGGAGGAGAGGGAGGTCTGTCCATCCCTCCTGGGCAACACACCATGGTAATACATGGGATCAATAACCAAGACAGTGCCTGTGTTGAAAGGCCTGCCCTGCTGGGTGGACATCGACTGGTGGCATGGGCAGAAGGAGGGCTAACAGGCAGGTGTTGCAGCTCAGGACATGGATGAATATTTACTCTCCAGGGGGGTGGTGCAGCCCTGGAACAGTATCCACAGAGAGGGGGAATCACCATCCTTGGAGGTTGTCAGGTCTCTGTTGACAAAGCCATGGCTGATCCAGTCTACTGTTGAGGATAGTCCCTTTCTGAGTGGAAGGAACACTGGACTAGACACTTCCAAAGACCCCCGTGGTCTGCTGTGGTCATTGGCTAGAATTGATATTTAAAGATGCTGCCCTGTCCCTAGACCACCCTGTTCCTCCAAAGTATGCCACTTCTGGGTCGGGTGATAGCACAAGGGTGAAGCATCAAACATGATGGAGAGGTTGCAATGCTGTACCCCAACCAGCAACATGCCTCTGAGCACCCAACCCAATGAAGGGCCACATCCTCTGCCACAGCACAAGCATGCCAGTCAGGCACAGCATGGCTTATGACATAAAGTCTCAGAACCGGAGAGGAGCCATAGTGATGCATAATGGGGACAGAAATTGCAGTTTTACCCATAGCCCTGCAAAGCTGCAGTGGAGAGCAGACAGGAACCAGCCATGGGACAGACAGGCACAGCTCCCAGCAGTGGACCTGGGGCAGCTCAGTGAAATGAGTTGTAAGCTGCTTTGCTGTTCTCCTAGTGATGACAACTGACAACTTGATGATGCAATCTGTGCAACTGCAACACAGTGGGGACCAACAGTCCAGTGCAGAGACATGGAGGGAAGATAAGACAAAGCAGCTGAGATGCAGAACCCACTGGGAATGCGTTTGATGCTTCCCAAAGCCATCTTGTTCAGCTGGAGCTCCTCAATAGAAACATCATCTTCATTTTCCTTCTTAAAGAATCTTGATCTGCAGCGACTGCAAGGGCAGCTACACAGGGAAATCCTGCAAACTCAAGGGCTGCCCTGGCATGTGCCATGCTGGGAAGGAGCAAAACTTCTCTTGTGACCTTCCATCTGCACTGGCTGCTCTCCCTCTGTTCCTGCCAAGGCTCCCACTCTGCCAGCACAGGCAGCTGCCAGGACTAGTGTGCCAGTGGACACTGCTCTATGCAGCATGCATGGAGCTGTGCCACAGATGTGGTTCTAGAGGTTCGTGCCCAGA